AGAAGAAGATAATGGCTACTACCAGTGGCATGCTTTCTGCCAGTCTGGTTCCCCAGGGAGAAGGTAACCCTATTAGCTGGCGGTCTCAAGTCAGTGGCTGGAGGGCAGGGCTGTTGAGGTCTCTCAGAAGTACTAGATCAGGTGGTTTCTTGAGGTTCTTCATGAGCTGCTACAGTTATGAGCAGTTCCAGGGTTTCCTGTACCCCATGAGTGCTGGGCAGATCGGGTAAGTGGGTTAAGTGGTACACATACGTAATGACGCTATCGTCTTAGTATTACTACCAAACAAGAGAAAATTACTTTGTTAAGTATATCTTACAACAAAACCTTAGTTTTTCCCTTAAGAAAATATATAAAAATTAGTAAAAGTACATAGAATAATTTAAATGATTATTCCCTTGGGAATAATTATTCTAAAATTTTGGATAATTCCTTTCTGGCTTTTTAAAAATTATTCCATCAACACAGACATTTATATTTTAAGAGGTTTTGTACACTTCAAGAACTTTTCTTTACATTGTATTGTGAAGATGTTTGAATTTTATTAATAAATGCATAAAATGTCATTTTCACAGGCTACATAGTATTCTACCATTTGAATGCACTATGAATCCAGTGTCTCTTTCTTTGTTTATTACCATTTAGTCTGATCCTAAAAGGCTGTGGGAGAGCTCTGCTCTATGATCTTGACACAGGTATCTGGCTGTGGGTACCTCATTGCTGCTCTCTGAGGCTGTTTTGAATAGTAGATGAGACAACCACAAGAAGAGGGTGACACAAGTATTTCCACAAGGCCGTCTATGCATCCCTGTCTGAAAACAGCTTATGGTCTCAGATTCACTGTGTTTTTCCTCAGATCTTACTGTCTACTTTAGCTAATATTAAAGTTAACAAGTAAAGGCCCATATAGATTCGAGAAACCAAGTGTGGCCTACCCTGAGGGAACATGATGGTCAGGAATTACACAGACAAGATGTGGATCACAAAAGGCTGAGGTGCATCGGGATGGGAGGATAAAGACTGACCGATTGTCTGATTCCAGCCCCAGGTCAGCCTTTCCTGGTACCCCCTTTATTTCCTTCAGTAACCTTCCTGGGATGATGAGGGTGAATATGTTATCCTGACCTTGGAAATTATCGAATAAATAAGACAACACATGGCACAAATGCAAGGTGGTATCTATATTTTTCCATGGGGTGCCTAGTATGTACTGCTATAGGAAAAGTACATGGATTAAAGGTATTCTTCATTTTTCTTAATTATTTTAGATATGGCATCATAAAATAATCTAATTTGTATCACTTTATATTTTGAAAAAATTGATAATTTATTGTTATTTCACTTATTCAACCAGGGTTCCTAATTGCTCAAATGCTAGTTACCTGATTCGGTTCAAAATAATAATTATGCCAGTAAATGTTTTACAAAAGTTGTCAGTATTGTCTTCTCCATGGGAGTAGGAACAATGTACTTCTCTTCACCCTTCTGTGATTAAGGAGTACAGACTCTGGAGCCAGATTAGCTGGGTCCAATCCTACACTGCCACGAACCAGCTGTGGGACCTGGATGAGTGGCTAGGACACATAGATCTCACTTACCTGAGTAAAATGCACTTCTGTTCATAACAGAACAGACCTCAGAGGTTGCCAGAGGTTAAAGGACTTAATAAATGCAAAATATGGCTCATTTAACAGTCTGATGCCTGGGGCTCTTTTCTGATGACATCACACTGCCACACCCCTTAGTGTGAAGTGAGGAACCATCTTCTTCTCTACAGAAAAAAGACACTTGCTCCACCCCAAAGTCACCTCAAAGAGTCTGTTTGTTGTACAACTGTGATTTTTAGATATTCAGGGTGGCCTCATGATCCTGTTTCAAAAAACAAAAATCATGCACTTCTTGTCTTCGACCAGTCACTTTAACCTTGTAAGCTTTAATTTCTTTATTAAATGAGCAAATAATAGTTCTGTTGCAGGGGTGTTGTAATAATGATATATGGGATTCCTGATACACAACGATTCTCTTCCTTGGCCCAAGCCATTTGCAGTTAATAGAAGTCTCCGGATGCTGACAGGAATGGGGCCTTAGCCTGTGTCCACTCATTCCCTTAATTCATTAGGAAGTAGTGTTCAATGAATATCGGGGAACGTCATGATCAGGCATGCTTCCTGCTTAAAACATTAACCCAAGGTGGCTTCCTACAAAGATCCAGAAGTGCTGCAGAGAAGGCAAGGTTGAGGCTGGGAGCCCAGCTAGGAGTCCATAGCGTTTGCTCCCATGGGAAGAATGTGGGGTTGGGCAGAGACCCAAGAGAGGATGTGGTGTGGGACAGTGTGGCACTGATGCTGTGGGTCCTAAGCAGTGCAGTATATATGGCCTCCGCTTCCTTTTCTATGAAGTTTATAGTAAAGACTTAAGTAGGCATTTGAAAATTTGTTCTTACCTCAAGTTTGTTGTTTTTCTCACCTAACCAAACCTGAACTGGGACTTTCTATTGAAGTGATATATGTCAGATGGTTCATAATTTAGAATCAGTTTCTGCTGGTACCAGTGTATAACTATATTTACATAGTCTTCAGTGGACACCACACAAGATACCTAGACACTTTTATCTGTTGCTCTGTTGACAAAAATGCAGTTGACATTTTTTATTGCTTTAAATTTAACTTACCAAGTGCAACTGCAAACAGAAAAGAGAAGTCCCTGTGAACCTGGGGACATAGAAAGAGGAAGTGATAATGAAACACTTTCATCTGGCCGGGTGTGGTGGCTCATGCCTGTCATCACAGTACTTTGGGAGACCAAGGAGGGCAGATCACTTGAGGCCAGGAGTTCAAGACCAGCCTTGCCAACATGGCAAAACCCTGCCTCTACTAAAATAAATAAATAAATAAATAATCTAGGTGCAGTGGTGCATGCCTGTAATCTTAGCTACTCTGGAGGCTGAGGCACAACAGAGAAATGCTTGAACCCGGGAGGCAGAGGCTGCAGTGAGCTGAGATCACGCCATGGCATTCCAGCCTGGATGACAGATCGAGACTGTCTCAACATAAAAGAAAAAAAGGAATTACTTTCATCTCTCATCTATGTTGAAATATTGAGGAGCAACTCACAGCTGCAGAGGGAGAAAAAGATGAATATTCCCAGCAGGGACATGCTGCTGTCTGCTGAACCGTATCCCCAGGAGAAGGGCCCTGGTTGCTGGCTGGCCCCGGTCAGTGGGGAGAGAGCGTGGCATGACTTGGTGAGAGAGAAAAATGTGGCGGGTCAGGTGACCTCTGGGGACTTGATGGCCTACTGCAGAGCTGAGCAGTTCCCAGGAGCACTGCCCTGACCACTGATGCGGTGCAGAGTGCATTACCTGACAAGAATGTGTCTGTGGAACCGGATGGGGGCAGCTCTAGAGTTGAACTAATTCTGCTTCAAACTTAGCTGTGGAACCGGATGGGGGCAGCTCTAGAGTTGAACTAATTCTACTTCAAACTTAGCTGTTCCCTCCTTGATTTTCAGACTGTACAATATTGTTCCAGATATATGAGCGTGTAGCTTTCTTTACCTCACATAAAAATTGATCCCTCTGTTAATGTTTTGGGGATTCAGGACTCAGGAGTATAAAACATGGACAGTATTTTACAATTTTAAAAAAGGTAAACTGAAATTTTACACTAGCATTATTCATGCCTCATTTTAAAAACTCTAGTCATTTCTATTTGAAATCCAGTAAAGTATTTGGTTTATAATTAATTGGGATGTCACAATGCAGATTATAACTCAGAGAAATCCAATTTCACTTATAATGAGGGTGCGCCTCAAGAGGAAACTTGATTGAAATTGCTGGAGGGACCGACAGGGTGGTCTGTGGGGACTCACCTTGGAATTTGGAACTATCTCATGAACACTATGTCACAGAGAGGGGTGTTTTTAAATAAAGTTCATTTTTACATGTGATAATAAACCTTTAAAATTAACGTTATATCAAACATCTATTGTAGACTTGCTAACATTGTTCTAAACATTTTCTTCCATTACTTCCTTCACACTTCTCACCAGCGTTGAGAGGCAGTGGTATTATTCTCTCCCTCTGATAGACGACAACAACGTGGCACACATGACGTCCCAAATCACAAAGTTGTGGAGCTTGGAAAAGTACCCAATCCTCACTGAAGAAAACCTCACCAAATGTTGCAAAATGATGAAAATATTTTGAGAAGATTCTAGTAGAACATTAATTAATTAATTAAAATAAAGAAAATAAGAGCAACCAGAATTTATTTTTAAGCATGTTCTCTACACATTTGTAGATAGTAATATATTTGTTTGGATCATTAACACAGAATCACAGGGTTAAATTTTTTTTTTTTCCAGCTCTGTCACCCAGGCTGGAATACAGTGGTGCGATCTCAGTTCACTGCAACCTCCACCTCCCAGATTCAAGCGATTCTCCTGCCTCAGCCTCCTGAGTAGCTGGGACCACAGGCGTGCACCACCACGCCCGGCTAATTTTTGTATTTTTGGTAGAGACCGGGTTTTACTATATTGGCCAGGCTAGTCTCAAACTCCTTACCTCATGATCCGCCCGCCGTGGCCTCCCAAAGTGCTGGGTTTATAGGCATGAACCACTGCACCCAGCCATGATTAAACATTTTTTAATGGGTTTTACATTTACAGTTTTATATTCTTTTATTTTTATATTTTTATAAAAATAATTTTATATTTAAAAATATATCAGGTCCTTCAAAAGCTCATCTGAATATCACTATTAATGACCTGTGACTATATGCACTCTTCTAGACCACTTACCCTATCCAACATTGGCTGAGTTATTTGAAATCTTTGTGTCTCAGTTCTACATCTACAAGTGCCTAAATGGCTTCCAGAGACTTAAGAAATTTACACGATCACATAATAATGATAATGAACATGAAGTATAGATAACAGTACCTGTCACATACCTAGATATGGAAAACCCAAATTTCTTATGTTTTTATATTGAAAAGTCAATTGGTACTTTATCTGCATTTTATTCTCTGAATACACCTAATCACTGGAACCCTGGGCACGTGCTTCAGCACACAGTAGTAATTTGTGTCAGTTAATGTTTCATGATGGTCAGTTCTGTCTCCTCCATAGGGATAGAAACAACGTGTCTTTTCTTTTATACCCCTGTGATTAAGAAGCAGTTAATGTCATATTCAAGAGGAACCAGATTACCTGGGTCCCTCCCTGGGCTGTCTTGCCACTTATCAGCTCTGTGATTTGGACAAGTGCATGAACTAATACTCCACTTATTTCAGGAGTTAGATATGTTTGATAAGAACAACAGAGCAGACGTTATAGGTAGTGTGGGTTAAAGGAGCTAATACATACAAAGAATTGAGAACACTGTAGAGAACTTACACACACACACACACACACACACACACACACACGATACAATTCTCTCTTCCTTTACAGGTAAGATGAAGGGTTATTCCAACATGGAGGGTCTCATCCAACGATACTCGGGGTGACTTGGAGCTCTAGTCTGACGATCTCATGCTGGCAAATTCTCCTCTCTACCCCTCGCAGAAAAAAAGGCGCTTACTCCCTCCGGAATTTATCTCAGATATCCTAGCATTTACTTAGAGAATTACAACCCTTAAACTGTTCGGTGTGGTCTCACAGACCAGCTCAAAGACATGACTCGTCTGGCAGATCATGCAACCCCAATTCTGTAAGCTTTCATTTCTTTCATTGTAAATGGCACCAGTGATAGTTATATTGCAGGGGGGTTGTCTTGACTGTACATAATAAGGATCCCTCTCTCAACTGCACCTTGCTACTTACTAGAAGTCTCTAGGTGGTGATATGATGGACAGTGGCCCGACCTATGTTCTCTCAGTCCCCAGACAAGCCTTTAACTCATTAAGAAACAGTGTCAAATAAAGATTCTGGAGCACGAGTCCTGGGATCAGGTGGGAATGAAAGTGTAAGCACAACCCATAACAGCTTCCTGGAAAGCCCTGGAAGAGCCTCAGAGAAGGCGAGCCTGAGTCTGGGAGCCCAGCTGGGGACTGGCTGTGGTTGCCCCTGTTGGGAAGGATGTGGTGGGCACAGACCCTGGGAGGGGATTTTGTGCATGTTGTCTCTACAGTTCTAGTACAGTGTAATCCCATCCTGCACAGTAGTAAATGGCCATGTCTTCTTTCTCTATGGACTTGATGGTAAGGATTGAAGTGAGGGTTTGAGAATTCTTTCTCGCTTCCACTTTGTTACTCCTCTTACCCATGCTGCCATGAGCTGCGGATTTTGTTGAGATAATATAGATCAGATGCTCCAAAGCCTGATTCGGTTTCTGCCGGTACCAGTGAATGACATCGTTTTCAAAGTTTGTGCTCCTTATCTTGCAAGATATGTCAATACTTTTCTTGACTTCCGTGGAAATGGATAGCTGGAACTGCTCCACTTTCGATAATCCAAGTCCAACTGTAAGTAAAAGAGGATAATTTCCAATGAACATCTGAGAGTGGAAGAGGGAAACATTGAAGAATTATTTTGGTCATGCAGCTAGACTGAAATGTTCAGACAGCAACTCACGTGCCCAGAAGGACGAGAAGGCGAATGCTTCCAGCAGTGACATCCTGTCTTCAGGGTGGTGTCCCCAAGGAGAAGGCAGGAAAGTGCGGACCTGGTGGCTAGACACCTCGGGTCAGGGGCTGGAGGGTGTGGCCTGAATTGGGGAGAGAAAAGAAAGTGGTTTTTTGGGCCCTTCAGTGCCGCCTGCAGGCTCAGCACTGCGCCCCCACCCTGCTCACCCTGCTTATCTCAGTTCAGGCTTGCAGTCTCGACGGGGTTCTCTGCCCGAATTTGAGGGGGCCATGGGGATTGCCTAATTTCTATGGAAATGAGAAGGATTTCTAATTGCTTAGGAGTTGTTCATAAACACTTTTCCTCAGCATAATATTTTAAATTGTTGCATATTTAATAAACATTAACTTTTATAATAGCAAATACTTACTGAGCATTTTCTATTTGCTAGCCTTTTTTTTCTAAATGATTTTCACCTTCTAATCTTCACAATGATCACGTAATATGGGTACTTGGAATTTTCATTTTATGGATGAGGTAATGAGGCACAGAGTCATCAAGTAACGGCACAGAAGTCACACAGCGGATAGGTAGAACGTGCTGGTAACGGTGCTGGTCGAAGAAACTCAGAGCAATGGGGAAAGATAACAATAAAAACATCTATGGTCATATCACGAAGGCCCACTACTATTCGCATTATCATATGCTCGACAGTAGATTTTTTCATTGTAGATACATGAATATTAATATGATTTTATGGACTATAGATATATTTACATGTATAGTGTTCTGTATTCTTTCAGTTCAGCTTATATTCTGAGCAATTTCCCATGTCATTGGAGAATTTTTTATTTATATGTATTTTTTGAGACAAGATCTTGCTCTATCGCCCACCCTGGAGTACAGTAGCACACTCATGGCTCACTGCAGCCTCATCCTCTCAGGCTCAAGCAATCCTTTCATCCCCAGCCTCTTGAGTAACTGGGACTACAGGCGCACACCACCATGCCTGGCTAATTTTGTATTTTTTATAGAGATGGGGTTTCACCGTGTTGCCCAAGCTGGCCTCCAACTTCTGAGCTCAAGCAGTCCACCCACCTCAGCCTCCCAAAGTGCTAGGATTACAGGCGTGAGCAACGGCACCCAACCAAAACATTTTAAAATGTCTAACTGTTCATCTTTATCACACAGGGGCTGCCTCATCCTGTGCAGACTTCTTAATCTCTTTGCGTCTCAAATCTCTCATCTGAAAATGGATACAATAATAACACAGACTAAATAGCCAAGTACACCTAGTATAGCTCCTGACATACAGTAAATTTTCAGTAATTAGTAGATTTTATTGTTACTACTACATTTTTATCTCCCCCCTATTTTTTATTTTTATTTTGCAGAGATAGGGTCTTGCTATGTTGGCCAGGATGAAGTGCAGTGGTATAATCATGGTTCACTGCAGCCTTGAATTCCTGGGCTCAAACCATCCTCCTGCCTCAGCCTCTTGAGTAGCTAGGACTACAGGCATGCACCACCATGCACAGTTTCCCTCCATTTCCAGCCGTTTAATTTCCCCAACAGTTTTCATTGTTAAAATGCTTTGCTGACTGTTTTGAAGTGGTAACCCAGCTAAATCAAGGGGAACCAGTCAAATATTGTTAGTACTTCATTTTCCCACATTACGGAACTTCTCTTCCCCTCCATTCGGTTCCATTTTATGACTTCCATGTGGCCTTCTTGGAGATCTTCTGGTGCCTCAGGGCTCCTTTAACCTTGGACAGTGATTGTCCCTGTCACTTTTGTCCAGCTCTGGCTCGTGTGGTGTGGGACAGGTGTGAACTCTGACAGCTTAGGTTCTCCCTAGGAGACAGGAGAGGAAGCAGCTGGCTCGGAGGGCTCCTCCTAAAGCAGTTGCCCTGTTCACCCTCTTTTCTGATAAATACCATTTCTGAGATACTCAATGCTGGGAAGTTGAATGTTGAGGAGGTGGAGGTCAGCAGACCAACGGACCTGTGGCTACAACTAGAAGGACCCGTTCTTCCCCTGCACAGGATGTGTCCTGGGAATGGGAAGGAGGAGAGGGCGCCCATGCTGCAGGGTGAGCCAGTCTGCAGGACCTGGCTTAGAGCCCTGGTGCTGCCACAGCTAGGGCAGCCACAGTCACCCTGGAACTCACTAGGCACCCTGCACACTCCATCCCTGCCAGACAGTTCCTTCCAGATCCTGCAACTCCAGCAGCCGTGTGTGTGTGTGTGTGTGTGTGTGTGTGTGTGTGTGTGTGTGATGGGGAGGTTGTGAGGAGTGTGTCTAATTGCTGGAGTCCACAGTCTACCTGACTACCTGGAATAAAGGCTGAGAAAATGCATCAGGCATTTTCTTTTCTGTAGAGGCAGATGAATTCATTCATTCACCAAAACCCATGAGGTAAAAATTCCCTAAACACAGGAAAGGATTACTAGCAGTCTAGAAGAAAGACAAATGGACACTTTAAAGACACTTTTTTGTTTGCTTTTTTATTGTTTTTTTTTTCAAACAAATAAAGGGAACAAAGGCATAATTTATATTATTGAAAACATTGTCAGAAAACAGATATTCACTTTTCATAATATTAATAGTTTGCATTAATTGAGGACATTGTCTGTGGCAGGCTCTGTGCTGTAAGCACCTTTGTCCATTATCTGTTAAGTGAGGGTTCTTATTATTGTTCCCATTCTCCAGATGGGAAAATAAAAGCTTTGACGTAGCAGGCATTTTATTCAAGACCAAGGCATTTTTACAGAGCAGGCATTTTGTCCAAGTATGCACTTTGTTCTGTCAGGAGTTAAGTGACAGGACAGTAATTTGCAACAGAGGGTCTAACTCTAGAACCTGTGTGCTTAATGAAACCTTTTATTTCTCCCAAATATATCAATTATATAGATATATGTATACACAAACATATATACATATATAATGTACTTGTGCATGAATACATTTATTCTTCTTTTCTGTTGCAGATATAAATATTTCTGGTTGTGCCATTTTGATTACCCAACTAGGAAAAGAGAGAGAGAGAGAGATGGAGAATAACATAGGCTTTTGACTGAACACCTGAAATATCAAAAGAGCACATTAAATTCTTTTAAAAAATATTCTCACATAATTTGAGCAAAGAGAAAAGCAATCTCATTAGCTCAGAGGAAATTGCAGACGATTGCTGGTAACCAGGCATCTTGTCTACTCGGTCTTTGCCTCCGAGGACAGGTCAGAGGCTTCAGGTCAGTGTCAGGTGTGTGTGATTGCTGGTGTCAGGAAAGCAGGTAAGTGGTTCAAGCAGGGACTACCGTTCCATGTCACTCCTGAGGTTTCGATACATCTGGATAACATTAGCCAGGCTGCAACAACAACAAACCCACCAGTTCATTTACAAATAATTAGATAGTTAAACAGCAGCGAGACACAGCTAGAGACAGAGAAGAGATAGAGGTGGAGGTGGAGGTGGAGGTGGAGATAAGTGTATCTAGTGAAGATTGCAATATCAGCAATATCCCTGAGGGAAGGTTTTCCTTGATTAGTTGTCCAAACCATTTCACACAAGGGGATGTAGACAAAAGTGAAATTAAATAACAAATACTGGTAATTAGTACTTATTGAGTCCTTTCTCTAGTCCAGGCTGGATGCTCAGCATTTTGTATTTATTATCTCAACTAATCCTCACAACAGTCGCTGGAGCCTGTCACACAGAAGACAAAGCTGAAGACGCTCAGGTTGACTCAAGCCCTCTGACTCCAGAGTCTGCACTCCTTGACTTCACACCATGGTGTCACTTATGTGAATGACTTTTTTCATGACCATCAGTTTTTCTCAAGGCTCTGGAATGTACTGTCTGGTGGCTGAATTCAAACATTATTTTCATTAGTTCTTTAATGATTATTTTTGTGTAAACTAATTTTGTCTTTCCATGGGGTTAGGAAGCTTCATAGATTCAATTTATTTAAAGCCTTGTATCTTGTCTGTGTGGCTTTATCACGAATTACCTCCTAAACAGACACCCACTCCCTAGAGCACAAATAAGGGTTCTTTTTACTAATTAACAAAAGGCATGCCCTTAGGCAGAATAATTAGACAAAGACACCTTTCTCCAGCATGTGGCAGCCCAGCTCCAGAGTGCGCAGGGGGTGGGTGTGAGATGGGATTTTGGTTCCCACTGGCTCCCCTCACCCAAGTGACTTTGAGCAGGGCACAGCCACCCAGCTAACTTTGAGCAGGGCACAGCGGTGGAACATGCACACTCTATGATTCAATGCAGAGGGGAAATGTACACAACCTATACCTGTCATCTCTTGCTCATTCTGATATTGCGGGGAGACACTAAACTTACCAACTTAAAATAGTTTCCACCAGGTTAGAGCAGCCTTTTTCAGATGGGCTCGGTCTCTTTGTGGTGCCTGCTTAGGCTTTTCTGTGTTTCTCTGTCTTCCTCCTTGTCATCCCCAGGATGACATCGCTACCCAGGGGCAGGGTGTGTGAATGAGTTCTTAGCGTTGTCTTCCTGCTACTCCCTGCATCCTCAACAACTTCCAGCACTTTGCCCTGCTGATCTCAGGGATTTCACTCTTCCTCTGAACTGGCTGGTGTAATAACCAGACTGAACTTACCACTATTGACTCCACACCATGCCCTTGGGATGTAAAGTTCCCTTCCTGCAGCTTCTCATCAAAATCCCAGGTGCTGTGCTCACCGGCCCCCTCAGTACCTTTGTATCCTCTCAGAGACCCTGAGAAGCATCTGGGACTCCTACATGCACAGCCTGTGTGGAAAGTGGTGCTGGTTTGGGCTCACCTTTGCAAATGCCTTCCACTTTTGGTGAAGTTCTACGAGGGCCATATTAGAGAAGCTTGACAGGAGCCAGACACTCACAGATTCTCCTTATGCCTATCTTGGGTTTCCATTGGGCTTTCTATCCCTTCTGGCATAAGGCCCTCAGAGGCAAGGGAACCAGAAAGTTCCTCCTTGTAATGCTCTACCCCTCTCACTCTCCTCACCGGCTTGCACTTCCCAGCCAGAAGGAACAGCGCTTCTCCCTGGGAGGGTGTTAACGTCACCGATATCATATGCTGAGTCTTCATATCCAGCAGCTGTAATAAAATTCTGTGTTCTTAGTTTGCCAGGGTGGCCTTTTGACCTACAAATGAGAGAATCACAACTTTAGAAAACTCTTTAAAAAAAAATTGAACCTGATTTTCAAGCCCAGCATCTCACAATTAATTCAAAAAGTGAGTTTGTTCTAGGCAACTATCATCTCTTTCCATGGGTAGTAAATATGGATTAGCTATAATAAAGACAGATCAAAAGGTGACATGATTTATTTTGGAGAATAAAAATATGTTGGCCACATGTTTCCAAAACATGATCCTCATTACACATTTTGATCATTTCCTTAAGTCTGGGCCATGAGGTTTTGATCCCTCTCCAGGTATCCCACCCATGATATTATCTGCTAAAGTAAGTTCACAATAACAGAGACGATTTTCTGTTTTCTTAGCCTTTTCCCCTCCATTAAGAAGAAGGGTCCTAGGGCAGAATGCTGGTGGGGAGCGGTGTGGGGAGCAGGGTGGGGGTGGGGTGGGAGGTGGGAACTCTTCCAGATGTGTGTCCAACATGATCCTTTAGCCATGGCTTCTTGAGTCACTGCCCATTCTGTCTTGACCTGGCTCTGCAGGGCTAGGCAGTAGGTCCGGGTCAGCGCATAATTACCCACAAAGGCCATAGTTTATTCTATAAAGTTTTGTTTGTTTTTGAGACAGGGTCTTGCTCTGTAGCCCAGGCTGGAGTGCAGTGGTGCAGTGGTGCAATCTTGGCTCTCTGCAACCTCTGTCTCCTGGGCTCAAGCCATCCTCCCACCTCAGCTTCCAGAATAGCTGAGACTACAGGCACGCCCCACCACACCTGGCTAATTTTTGTGTTTTTGTAGAGATGAGGTTTCACCATATTGCCCAGGCTGGTCTCAAATTCCTGAGGTCAAGTGATCTACCCACCTCAGCCTCTGAAAACATTGAGATTATAGGCCTGAGCCACTGCACCTGGCCCTATTTCTATAAAGTTAATAAACACTAAGGGTATTCAAGGTGGTCCAATAGTGCAATTGAAAGAGCATGAACTATTTGTTTGGACAGATAACTGTCCCTGTCTAAGCATCAGTTATTTCTTTCACGAATAAGTTTACTTACCAGGTTCTTATGATAGTCACCTGAGATTCTGAACATGTAGGACATCTATCCCATTTTCTGGCAGTCAATGGGAACTGAATGGATATTAATTCCATTTTGTTCCTTGCCAGCATCTTCACTCTGAGCATTTCACTATGACTAGAATTCTCTAAAAAATGAAATAATGGACCTTGCCTTCTCTCTGAAATAATCATGTAGTTTCAACAAACATAGTCTCTAAATAGGAACCCAAGTCCACAGGAAATGATGTCAAATCAGAAAGTTGGGGGTATAGTTACTGGCATTTGTGGGGTGCAATTGATAGTCATCAGGTTCCCTTTCTGGTTTCCTGTGATCACAGAGGCATCATCTGAGGAACACAGGAAGTGCTGCAAGCTGAGGCTGAGGCCTAGCCAGGGCGGAGGGCTGAAGGAGGCTCTTCCACATCGGGAAGGATGTGGTCGCCTACATGATAACGGGGCAAGTGCTCATTACCTCGGCTCCAATGTCATGCTAGGTTCCTGGGGGCCGTTGTATTGGGTCATCATGTCTTTCTACTTTTCTGGGAATTTTATATTAAGAACTAAAGGGGAGTAGCAGAATTTTATATATAGAATTTATATACAGAATTTTATATATGGTTGCAACTCTTTGCCTATCATGGACCTTGAACAGGGTTTTTTCCAAGTAAATATCAAAGCCTCAAATGCCTGATTTGGTGTTTGTCAGTACCTGAGTGTGTATGAAAAGTTCTATCTGGATAACCTATGGTGAAAATACATGCTTTGTTTCTGCTAATGAAATAAAGATTTTCACTTGCTTCAATTGTTTTTACCCAGTTTCAACTAGAAACAAACTAGCATTTTCAACAAAACCAAAGTTATCAAGAAATGAGACATTCATTTTCCAAAAAATCCCTCAGCCAATCTGAGAAGTAGGGGAACAAGTTCACATTCCCAGAGTGAAGAATAGGTGCATGTCTGGAGCTGTGATGTCCCTTCTGCTCAGACTGAGTGCCCGAGAGAGGCTGAGGAGATAGGAAACCTGGAGCAGGAGAAGCCATGCCAGGATGAGGAAGGGGAACCTCGTAGAGTGTTCACAGAGAAAATGGGTGTCCCCAGGCCCTGCACCCAGATCAGTCATTTCTGAGGATGCTGATTGGTCAGGATCACATGGGAACTCTACCCATAGCTATATGACACCATGATAATCAGTCCATTTGCCAGGGTAAAAGTTATTCACATCTTGTTGACTCTTAGAAATTTTAGAAATATTCTTTCTCATTATTATTATTTCATCATGATTATCTAACTGGTTTCAGGGAAGAGTTGGTCCAAGTTACCACGTGTGCTATGACCTGAAGCCACCTGTCCACTTTTCCAGGTGAGAGTCCTCACTGGTTTATCTGGCCACCCAACGCTCATGGCACAGACCCAACACTTCCATGACCCACACGAAGGGCTCTGCTCTGGACCCACGGCGGATGTACGACCTGAGAGTCCTATTTGGTGTGGAAGTAGGAGAGCTATCTCATCATCTCCTCACTGGGAGAGAAGGGAGTTTCCAGGGAACTCCCAACAGTGCTTTTCAGAGAAAGTCTTTGCAAAATTAGAGTCTCTAAGCTCTACTGTATTTAGCCTGGATATAGCTCATGAGTCAAAGATTAGAGTCATCAATTTTGTCTACCTCTTAGCAAGTCTTTGAGAAATATAGCCAACTAGCCCAGGGTTTCTCAGCCTCTGCATTATCGACATTTGGGGCTGGATAATTCTTTCTTGTGGAGCCGTCCTGTGCATTGTAGGATGTTTAGTATCATCTCTGGCCTCTACTCACTAGATACCAGTAGCATTCTCACTCCATTTGTGACAACAAAAAATGTCTTCAGATGTTACCAATGTCCGCTGGAGAGGGGATTGCCCTCCATCCAGAATCTCTGGTTTTGTCCTCTTCTTTTGGATTACTACCATTCTCCTGAGCTTAGAGTGTCAGCGGAGATTGGGACAAAATGAAACTCCCACTGAACATCCAGTATGTAAAAATTCTCATCACTCAATGAGCAGTATCACTTAATCTTCTTTGCCACCATCTATTTTCCTAAGGAATTGGAGTGGATATTACAACAAATACCTCTATCGCTCAGCATATAGCACTGCAGCTTTGCTAGACCACTTGTTACCGGCTACTTTCATAGAACACATGCTAGATTTCATTTTTGCTACATCAAAGTCATATGTTGTAGGGATTGTTAAAGCCCCTCATTTCATCAAGAAGGATGCCTTCCCTATACTGGGAGCTCCATAAATATTGACTATCCTTAGGAGGTAATTCATATAAGAAATCATATTGCAATGAATGAAATGTGTTAAAATAAAACTATAACTCTTTGTTATGGTGTTTACAATTTCCAAAACACTTTTACGAACATTGGCTCATTTAATCCAAACAATATTTTGAGGCAGGAAGGGATTCCCCATGGGGAAGAGGGGGTAATGTAAGGCCTCTCAGCTAGTAAATGGTACAGCTGGAACTAAAACCTATTTCTTCAATACCAAGAAAATCCACATATTGTGCTATACAGGTGAGCATGCAATCATTCAGTTCTGCTTTTAATTCCAGTTCAACCTGCTGTTAGCTTGACTTGTTGCTCTCTGACACCCAGTGCCCTCAACTATGAAAATGAAATTGAAATGTCTATCTACCAGCATTGGCTTAGATAGATGCATAATATGCCTGGCATACAGTGGGAGCTCAGTGGATTCCATATCCTTCACCTCCTTCCTCTCTACTCTGCCTCCTTGTTGAAGCAGGATCAGCACAGAGCTACTGTTAGAAGGCCTAGTTTTGGTTTTGGGATATGCTCTTTATCTTAGGATTTTAGTTCTTTAACTTGAATGACAATAAATAACATCTCTAGACAGAAGAACTCCCCATCATGAGGTGTGGTGGGGCTCTCAGCCTTGCCCTCCAAGTGGAGGCTCTGTGACGTGGGGCCTCATGACCAGTCGTGGGGCTGCCACACCCCTCCTCTTCCCCCAGAGAGGTTCCCCACGTCTACACCTCACCTCACAGCAAACATGGGCAAGGAAGGAACTGTCTGCAAATGTCCCATTTATCCTGTACCCGAGGAGGTGGTAAAAATTAATTCACTGAAGAGTTTGATTCAAAAAATAATGAAGTTCTATAAATAAAAACATATCTGTAAATTTGGGATGCTTTTTTCCTAAAATACGTCCTTTCAGTATTAGAAAATGTAATGATGACAAAAGCTAGGTTTTACTGTTGCAACCAGACTGTGCGTGACAAAAATGAACTTTCTCCTTTTCTTGTTTGGCAAGACTTTTACTTGAATATTCTGGCTCTGTGAACCCTTCCCAGTGATCCATTAACTTCTTCCTGCTCAGAACATTTATCTATGTCATGGAATCAAGGACTTTCCTTTTTTTTTCCTTTGAAGAACAGTGAATAGTATGCTGGTATTCTTATTGATATTCACTCAAAAGAGTCAGGCTGTTTGATTGCTGCATTATGTTTCATCCAGTAAACTGGAAGTCTTCCTGCTTCAACCTTTTTCATTAAAGGGCCAAATTCCCTACTTGGGTACACTTACAGGAACACATTCTGCATCCTTGTAAATATACAGAGAAGTCTGAGCCCCTCTTCCCTCCCTTGTCATTTATTCCAGTTCTTGCTGGGTGAGTGTGGTGTGGTGGGAAGAGAGTAAGTCTTATGGACTGTCGCAATGGCTCTATATCCCTTCTCTGCTACTAGTGATGTTTGCGTGATCTTGGAGGCTACAGAGTTTCTCTGAATCTCCAGTTCCTCCTCTGAGAAAGGGGATGATAGTATCTAAGAGAGAAAAGCATGTAAAGTTCCAGGCCTGACATTGACTTGGCCCTCCGCCCATCCAAGACCTCCCTGGGCAGCCACGCAGGAAGCAGAACATGATGTGGCCATCTCAGGCCAGGCTGCAGTTGGGTCTTGGCCTTTCCTCCCTTTCCCATCCACCTTTGGATAACATTTCTGTGCTCCTCAGCGGACTGAGGGTAAGGGAATGCAGCAGAAAGGTGATAATTAGGGTGAATATCTTTGTGTTCCATCTCGCTGCTTTTCGGTTACTCAATAAGCACAGTTTTGGTTACGCTTTTTTTCTTGTTTAAAAAAAAAAATCTTAGAACCCAGAAGTCAGAAAAACTTGATTGCATAAGAAAATTCTCTGTAGAGAATTCTCTGCAGATTGTATCTAAGTAAACACCGTTAGCATCAATTTAACTAACTTCATGTGACCCTGGGGAATGGAGCTTAAGGCTGCAAGTGAAAAAAAATCACAAAACGAAAAATAAAATTTTTTATTTTCCCCCGAAATGTTTCCATTTAAAAGGTCGTGTTTGGTTTTGTTTTTCTCATCACTGTAGGAGATCAAGGCAATAGATTTTGTAGTCGGACAGACCTGGATTCAGATCCCAGCCTCGCTGCTTACTATCAAGTATCTTAATTTATCAAAGCCTCAAATCTGTACCTAGAAAATATCTATAAAGGGCATTTGTTCCTGCAACAGAGCCGCTGCCGCCATCTCTGTCTTTTTAAGATCGCCCAGGTCCCTCCACCGCCACCACGCCTCTGGGATGCGGCAGCGCGACCCTCTGGCCAGCCAGCCCCCTCCCGCCGCGCCCTCTGCCCCCCCGCCCGCGCACCCCGCCCACCCCCCCGCCCGCGCACCCCGCCCACCCCCCCGCCCGCGCACCCCGCCCACCCCCCCGCCCCGGCAGCCGCCCCATCTCCGCCCCTTCCGGCCAGCGGAGCCTCATGGCTCATATGGCGTCCACGCCGCAGGGGTGACCGTAGACTCGGCTGTGGGACACGTCATGGGCAGTGCCTTAAGCTGGGGGAGCTCGGAGCCTGCCCAGCCTGCTGCCCAACAGACCTCCACCTACACTGCCCCTCAGCCCTTGCAGATGGGGCCCTGTGCCTACGACAGCAGGCAGTTCCTGGACTGTTCGACCACTCAGAGTGACCTGTCCCTGCGTGAGGGCTCCAGCGAGGCCCTAAAGCAGTGCAAGTACAACCATGGTCTGAGGTGCCTGCTCTGAAGAGTTGGTACAGACTCGGGGGCCAGCTCTGCACCCACCTCTACCCTTTGCTGACAGCTGGACCACAACACTAGATTGTACCAGATAGCTGGGATTGGAAGTGAAGAGGTTTCTCACCCCACGAATAACCCAAGACACAAATGTGGAAATAAAATAGTTTATTAAAAAAAGAAAATATCTATAAAAATGAGATAATAATAA